ACTCAGGGTGAAAGATATAACGCCCCTAGGCGAGGTCCATGCGACTCAGGGCGTTCGAAGGCCCCTAAGCGTCGTCGCAAAAACATTAGTGTGTGTCAAGTCCATGCGACTCAGGGCGTACGAAGGCCCCTAAGCGTCGTCGCAACATTAGTGTGTGTAAAAACCCACAAACCTGTACAATATCAATAAACTAATTTTCATATACGGAACCACAGTGTGGATATATTCTATCCCTGCTGACACAAAACAGACATTATGTGATATAAATTTTTTACCATACAAAATCTCAAATGATAAGACAAAATTTTTAAGTAAAGCCTCTGCATAATCTATAAATTCTGTTTTACATAAATCTGGACGAACAAGAATTGTGATTGCTACGTGAAGCATAAGAAAATGATGATACAAATTTTCTGCTAATGAATACTTTAAAACAACAGGTCCCGTATATAAAAGAAAATTTCTGAATTCTACAGCTTTCCATTGTTTAACATCTTGTATACATCTTGGCTTTCTAACAAAATCACTTAGTGTATTACTTCTAAGCAAGATTAACAAATATGATATTCTTTTGATTGATCTTGGTCTTAAACGTATAGAAAGCGGACCTTTTATCCATAAAAGTATTAATTTTTTAACAACGCCTAACAATACAAGATGCATATAGTCTAAGGGCGTGTTCGTTATAGGTAAAAAACCCGGAATATTATTTATAATGGAGTAATCTGTCTGAAAATTCTTGTAACCATTAATGGCAAATAAATCGTCAGTTCTTAAAGAATATGGTGCATTTGGAAAGCAAACTCTACCATTTAAATATTTTCCTTTTATTGTACATTTTGTACAGCTGTAGAACCCAGTGTGACCTTTTGTACATAAAATAAAGGATTTTGCTGGTGCATCACATATCAAACCAAATAATTTAATTTTGATCACGTTTTTATCATAAATGTAACCATTGCTTAAAGAAATGAAATCATTAACCAAAGGTTGAAGAAAAGTATTACAATCTTGCGGTTTTTTTTCTCCAAAATATGCACCGACATATACATCTTCATTTACTGTATTCGAACATAAAATAGGCCATAATGAAGACTGTGATGACTTTGAGAGAGGAAGACCGTCTATATTTATAAGTAAATTTATATATTTCTTATTAGATTTTAAAAACATTTTCTTAATCACATTATTCAAACCCGCGTAAAAATATTGTCCGCCACATGCACTTATTACATGAACTTGTCGTGGAGTTTGTAGTAACGTTCGTATATCTTTTGAAAAATTACATGATGTATATTGCTGCAAAATTGTTATCAATGCATTACATGCGTTATGATTAATATTGAATGATAAAGCCCATTTAACAAAATCATTTTTAAATTTATTATTTTCATCAACATCATTGTAGCTTCTGCTTTTACTTTCTGTGGTAAGATTGTCAATATCACTATCATGATCATAGTCTACTTGCATGCCAGTATTATTGTCATTTATATTTTGACATTGTAGATAATGATTTTCATTTTCACAGATTTCAATTTCAGGATTAAGCGTTTCATTAGTGATGTTTTTATTAAATGCATGAATATTTATATCACTAATTTTATGTAAAACCAAACAATTATCTTTAAAAGATCTATTGGAATTTAATAATGACTGTTTAATTTGTGTAGATGATCCTGCTATATCAATATTAGTTTGATCTTCAATAATTCTCCTTATGTGACGTTTTGAAATATACACTTTATGTTTTAATGCGTTAGACATATTTGTTACTAACGTTAGATATATAATAACGTTAAATAACGTACAATGTATTATTATTATAGTTATATACGTACATTTAAGCTTAAGCATACAAGTTTTACTAACACAAGTATTGTTATAAAAATAAAATATATATTTTAGTTCAATCTAAAAAAATAATATATAATTTAGATAATTAAATAATTACTAATTGAAGATAAAAGGACAATCCCAATATAGATAAAGATCCTTACCTATTAGTTGAATACCAAATAAATGTATTTAGAATACTGGTAGCAACAAAATATAAACAATATATTATATATATTGCACTGTAGAACACCCTATATATTTATTTAGGATATTTTCCCAAACTATGATCAATTATTTTATAGCCTCTGAACATGATATATAAATGTTTGATGATATTTTCTGAAACAATATAGTAAAATAGATATAGATCATATCATAGATAAATACATTTTATCATAGATAAATACTTTTCTAATCGATCTCAGTAATTTTGAGGTTATAGATTATTAACCCTAGATATATGATTTTCTATTAATGAATATAACATTTTTAGTATATAGATTGCTATAACTAAACATAAATATTGTCAAGAAGTACTTACCTCTTTTTTCTTTCTTCTTGTAACAAGAAATGTGAGTCTACGTGAGATCATACGACACGTGGCAATAATGAACGATGGACTAGCGCAGAACGCAGCGATGCCGGCGCCAGCTAACACAAGCGCGAACGTGCACATATGCTGCGCAGAGCATACGATACAATTTAAACCAATTTAAAAAAGAATATTGCAAAAAACTATTTTATTATAATATTTTATTATTAAAATGTATATTATATATTTTATATTAAATTATATATATAAAATTTGGATTTTGCAATGTTTCCGAAATATTAATGTCATATTGCTACAAACGTGCTAGTATTTTGTGAATCTATATTTCTACAATGTCTTTGTAATGTTGAATTGCCATTTGCAATATTGCAACATTGCTGCAATGTGATTGCAATGATCTGTGCTGTATGGGATATGTAACAAGAAAAATGCTGAACAAATATTATTAATATAATTAAGCAGAAGAAGGTGATATCATCCAATTTTATACAAGAAATGCAATAAATATAAAAAATAAAATATTAATATATTTCTTTACCTGATATTCAAATTTAAGAGATGAGTAACAATTATATGGCACAACACTGATTGGCATCTTGTAGTGAAAGTTTGTCCATGTTGACTGATTTGTAACATTGTTTGTCCATATGTTTGTCCATATGCAGTTTTTGAAAGAAGATCTTTTAGATTAAATCCTTTTTTCAATTTTATTCTTTTTGGAAATGGTTCTCTGAATTTTCCATTTCATTTACTATTTCCGATTTATTTTTATTTTCTATCTCTATCTCTAATAATTCCTTTTCTTGATCTTCATTTAAAATATTATTTATATCAATAACAGTAGGATTGTTGTATATTATTTCAAAAAGTACTGGATTTGAAGTACTTGGAGAATTTTGCAAATCAAATATTTTACTACATATTAGGCTCTGAAAAAACAACACTATAACAATAATAAAATATTGTAATAATATGAATATATAATAAAACAAAATTTGTTTTTATCATATGTTGATGAAATTTGAAGATCAAATGAAAGGAGATAAAACGTACATAATCATTGTACTTTCTACGAAATATTATTCGATCTATGCGAGTGGGAATTATTTGTTCAAAATCACGGTAATTGCAGTCTTTTAATAGACCATCCAAAATTTCTATGTTGTTGATTTTATTTACTGTGTTAAATAAATGACAAGGACATTTAGACAAAAAGGACATAAGGACAAAAATTAATTCTTACAGTGAACACGTGCATATTTTATGTCCACGCCATTTATTATAAATAACTATTTTTCTCGATTTTTTAATAAAAAAAGTGATTAAAAAATTATTTAAATATTTTTTTATATAACTAGAAATATTACATAAGATTTTAAAAAAAGATATGTAAATGTATTCAGATTTTTATATTTTATCAAATGTAAATAGCCACGTATTCATTTGAAATAAATATAGACTTAGTTACGTATTTTTATGTCGTATCGTGACAATGTAGACGGAATGCGTTGCAATATTGTGTGTCAAAATATAGATATGTGAACGTGTAATAATGTTAAGATATTTCGCTATTCACATTAAACAAAAAATACAACAATGAACAAAACATAAGCATTTACAATGATACAGTATGGAAATAATATAAGTGATACGAAAAATAAATTAAATTATGTTATATACATATATATACAATGTAAATATAATATCGAATCATTTATTTGTAACGGTATAATGATACGAGGATGAGCAACAAGTCTATATCCACGGGTATTTTATAAATTAAAGCAAAAAATGTGATATAACTATGCGTATATATGTACACGCATATATTTGTGATATCAATTGATTTGTAGATTAGATGCACAGATTATAGAAAGTTTGAGAAAAAAATAATAAGCCTATACATACCTTTTAGTATATCAATAAAATCTTTAAGTCCCCAAAGCGAGAGAAGAGTTTCTAATTCACTCATATTTTTTACTTATGAATTTCAATAGTTCAATAGTTAATTGAAGTCGCTTCACGAACGTCGGCAGAACCGAGTTTTATGACACTTTTGCGTTCACAATCAGATCGCTACGAACACGTACGAATTGGTGATACTGATTCCGGTAGCATGCAGTAGCATGTTGAAAAAATGGCTTCCGTGCCGCACACAAGCGTATCGTGTTCAAAACAAATGCGACTCAACGTGATATTGCGCATAAGGCACAGGAACATGATAAACTGATGGATTTCATAAAGAATAATCTCTGATTTAGTAATACTTACCAAATAATGTAGTAACTGTCAGCAAATCAATCAGATAATGCCTTTAAGACAATTTAGTATTAATTATCAAATTGTTTGCTGATTATCATCAAACTTTTCGATAATAAATACTATGTAATTTAGTTAGCTCGACTAAACGCAAAATTTGCTCTTTTAAAATATTTGTAATTATTATCAAATATTATGTTATTATTATTTTAATTAATAATAACCAAATAATTAAAAAAAAAATGCATTACTAAATGCATCTCACAAGTTTACCTAGAATTTTTGTTTCAGTGTATGCATGATATCTGGGATCACTGCACGGGATAGGTTCGGCGAGCGGAGTCCATGGTTCGACAGTTAGCGACACCAATTTCCAAGGGGCGAGTTGGCCGTTATGTAGAAGTGAAGATTCTTCTGAAGCATTATTATCGCTGGTTATTTTATTATCGAGTTGTTTTTTTTTTTACCGCACTAGAATCGTTTCCTCGAGCGATCATCACAACCAAGTTCGGCGACCAACCAGCAGAGTTGATTCTTTCTGCCGATGCGTTTTCGTCATTGGGCTATTAATAAAAAATGAAGGAATATTCATAGTTAATGGAAAGTAAGATTTGAGGGGTTCAAATTTAAGAGAGAATTTTAAGTTAACTAAGCAAATATATTTAGAAAAAAACGAAATTTATCAAATAAAGATACAGCAATCTTGCGAATGAAAAATTACACTTTATACGCTAGAACTTACAGAAATTTTACTTTATAAACTAGGATTCTTACAAGAATTGACTTATATGCTAGAGATTGAACTCGCAGATTTTTACTAAGTATAAAGCTCGCGAAAATTTAGAGAAAAGACCGCGTATGGAGCTGATCTCGATGTGAAGCTCCAAAATTTTCTTAATGACTGAGTGCATGGAGGCTTTGCAAGGCCCGTATTTATACTACTCTGAACCCTAGAAAGAAGTTGTTTGTCCAATGCAATAGAATCGCAGATAGATATGATTACAATTTAGAGTATCGGATGCTCGAAGCACGGTTTACATAAAGCGACGGGTGGTATCCGGGTATCGGGCCCAAGAGAGCGTCGAGATAATTTACAGCCGCTCGGTCCGAGAAGCAACAAAAGTTTTATATGACACGAAAGGTTTCGGATTGCGCCTTACTGGCGATATGTGCCAAGCACATTTCACGCAGCAATTGATATTCTCGATATTCTCGATAATAAAACAAAAAATCTAAACGAAATTTAGAAGCGAAAATTTACTCGCAAATATATGGGGACATTACACCTCTCCCCTAAAAATAAAATATTGAACCATGCACCAATATTTTGAACATATACCAATTATAATCATGAACCAAAGTTTATATATGGATATACATATTTATGGAGACGTTACGCCTCTCCCCTAAAAATAAAATATTGAACCATGCACCAATATTTTGAACATATACCAATTATAATCATGAACCAAAGTTTATATATGTATATACATATATAAAAAAAAGAAAATAATAAAATATGTGTTACCATGTATAAAAGTACAAAAATAGTCGATATACTATTTCATTACCTTAACCTGCGGTACAATGTCGCGCGGACTGTCGTCTAACAATTGTCTTAAGTTTTTATAAAAGTATCTATGTTCACTCACGTTACAATTTTTACTCGAAGATGATTCTGGAGATTGTTCGTTGGTTGGCGCAGACGATGAAGCAGGTGGTTCCATGCTTTGCTTTTGGTTCTGACTCTCCTTTTCCTTGATCAGTGCTGGTCGACTCAGGTGTAGTAACAGGTGAGAGGCTGAATAGTTTGTGGAGGTAGCGATTCCATTGGACGTTGCTCCGTACGAAACCAAATTCCGTGTAACTTGTATATCGTAGGCAGAAGCTCATTGCAATCTCGTCGAGTTCCCGTTTTGGAAAGAATTCGTAATCTCCTTAGCAGGAACATAGAGATGTTACGACAATAGACTGGAAGCTCATTGTAGTAGTCTTTCATGTGTCTGATTTTGCATTCCACAGGCTCACATTTAATAATGTGAATGACATTGTCGACGATTATCGTTGTATAGCCAACATTTTCCATGATTCGTGAATTTTTATTTCATCTGGAACGACGCTGGCTAATGAAAGTGCATTCTTTAAGATTTGTTCTTCCAGAGCACATTTCTGTTCCATGATGTCTTGATATAACATCGAAAGCTGAGTTTGTATATGCTGTTCGATGTATACAAATTTTGAATTTACGTATGCAAATACATTCAGGTTGTCCACTGGTGTTTTGGAACGAGTCTTGAAAATTTTCTCTTGCTGAGTTTCCAGGATAGATCTCAGATAGCTTTGGGTGTGGAAAATCTTGTATCTGCAAAGATTTGCTTCTGTAGCTTTTGCTAAGGCGAAGATAGTTCCATGTGTCGTAACTGCGTACACCATAGATGTAGATTGATTATTATTTGGCGTAAGCTTGGTGGCATAACCTTCATATAAAATGTTAGGTTCTGACGACAAGAGTTCCGGTTTCGTAAAACCAAAAACAACCGATCGAACTATTTCCTTGAATATAATTCTTTTGTCCATTATGCACTATCGAGATGTGAGAATGCACCCCGCAGTGATATACAATTCGACCGATCTCCACTTTATATTGAATTATCTGAGTCCGATAAAAATCCGAAAGTTGAAGCAACTGAATGTATATTTCCTTTCGATTTGGCTCGACGGTTTCCAGATTGCAATCTCCAATATTAATCAGAGAAAGGATTGTTATATTAAGCCCATTTCCTGTGCATCCGGTGAGTCTCGATGAAATGGGTACAAACAGCAAAGTTGTAGTTAAAATAATCTTCATGATGATGTCATCCGATTCTTTCTTAATGAACCTGCTGCTAATTGCTCCGATGACCAGTTACAAAGCTCCTCGTCGACGTGCCCTGGTGGGGAGTCCGTAGAGATGCACCTTTTGCGATACGCAATTTATCCGCGTGCACAATTCTAGTTTTACTTAAGCCTATTGCTAATTTTACATTATGATTATCCATTATTTGAATAATGTCACAAGGCCGATATGATCGCACAATTTATTTTTATTCGGCTTTTTCAGCAGATAAACTATATTATCACCTATTTTAAACTTATAAGGTATAATTCGCTTATCTCATAATCGCATAATATGCCTTTGACCTCTCTTTAGATTTAATTAAATTATTCCGAGTGTTATCTTCTTCCTCATTTAAACGGTAAAACAATTGAGTCAAATAATTAACTTTCATTGCGAATATCATTTAAAAAAGGATCGCTAATCGGAACTCTAGCAATTCCACCAAAAACCAACTCGTAAGGCGTATATTTTATACTCTCGTGCACGCTCGTATTATAAGAAAAACATTTTAAATACTTATTCCAGTCTTTACGGGTAACGGATGTAATTAACGAACTGTTTCAAAAATTCTCACAAAACGTGGTGCAAGCGTTCTATTGAACCGTTCGATTGAGATCTATAGGCGATGGTTTTATATTGTTTAATTCTAAATTTATATGCAATAGTAAGCATCAGAACGTTAACTTTGATCCATTAACCGTTGGAAAGTAGCAGCCGCGTTTTTAAGACCGAAAGGCATGTGATTAAAATGATAGTGACCATACGTCGTCGACAATGCTGTTTTCGAGGCATCCGCCGTATCCATAGAGATTTGGTGAAAACCAGACGCAAGATCAAATACACTAAAATATTTCGCGCTCTCGAATTGATCTAAAATGTCTGTAATATTCGGAAGAGGATAGACATCGCCCATCGTCTTTTTGTTAAGCATACGTTAATCTATAACCATTCTCCACCTCTTATTTTCTTTTGAGTCTGGTTTTTTAGGCACTATTCACAAGAGAGAACTGTATGGCGAATCAGATAGTTTAATTATTTCATTGTCTAAAAGTTCTTTAACTTGTTTATTAATTTCTTTCTTGTGAATAGGGGAAACTCTATATTGTTTAGTTAATGAGTAAATCGTCGGTCGTCACAATTTTATGACTTATTTCGGTTGTGCATGCAAGTTTATCATCCGGTAATCGGAAGAGATCGCTAATGCTTCTGAATAAGCATGCCGATGTGTTCCGATTCTTCTTTATTCAAGTGATCTAGGCGAAGGAGTTCCCGGATAGCTTGAACTCTTTCGTTTCTTTCCATATGAATTGTCGCGCACAAGAGAGAACTGTATGGCGAATCAGATAGTTTAATTATTTCATTGTCTAAAAGTTCTTTAACTTGTTTATTAATTTCTTTCTTGTGAATAGGGGAAATTCTATATTGTTTAGTTAATGAGTAAATCGTCGGTCGTCACAATTTTATGATTTATTTCGGTTGTGCATGCAAGTTTATCATCCGGTAATCGGAAGAGATCGCTATGCTTCTGAATAAGCATGCCGATGTGTTCCGATTCTTCTTTATTCAAGTGATCTAGGCGAAGGAGTTCCCGGATAGCTTGAACTCTTTCGTTTCTTTCCATATGAATTGTCGCGCAACGCGTAGATCGAACTTTACTAAAAATTATTTTATTTTCATCACGAGAAATAGAATCGGAACCGTCGTTCCGAGGCGTTTATTAAACAACACAAAAATAAATTATTCAACTATCAAAAAGGAATTGTTAGCGATAGTATATTGTGTTAATTATTTCAGACTCTATCTTTACGGGCATAAATTTTTACTTGTCACGGATTGTCATAAACCATTAGTTTGGTTATATTCGGTGAAAGATCCAACTTCGAGACTCGTTTGCTAGAGGCTCAAATTGGCGGAATACGAATATGAGGTTATTTATAAAGTCGGTAAAACAAATATAAATGCAGACGCTTTAACCAGAAATTCGATAATTGATTCGACCTTGATACGTTACAATCGCTTTAAATTTTACCGCTTTTTACGGATAGCGAATCCATCAATCCTTCTCCCAACTCCAGTATTTTACATGACGAAACGAATTATCAAAATGACGATGATAAAATACAGGAAATTGAATCATCCGTAATCCAGGAAATAAATAACAATAAGGAATAACAGACAGATATGATTTTACGGACTTTTCTGATGACAATTTATCAGACAACGAATTCTCAACAGATGAAATGAATAATGATAACGCAGTAGACGAAAATTTCAATGTAATTCACAATTTTAATATTTAAAAAATTCGTGACAATTTTTTATCGCGTAACGATGACTTGGTTATATTTATTACACAAAAAGGTGAACCTTGCGACAAAGGAGCGCGAATGCTCGTAGACATTGTAAACTTCTACTCATTTCTGAAAGTGCTCTTGCCCGCGAACAAGAATAATTAAAGCTGGAAATTATATGCACGCAAAAACAAGAATGTATGCACAAAATTTGGTAAAAATATGCAGAAATATTAGGAAATAATGCAAAAATATGCAAAAATATGCAATATATACATTTATTAAATGAAAAGCACAGAAAGAAAGAATTGCAAAAATATAATAAAATAAACAAATAAACTTTAAGGAAAAAAATACATAAAATAGTATTAACACAAAACGAACTTATTTGAATATAAAACTAAATCTAGAATATTTAATTTCTTACAGAACTGTAAATACTAACAATGAGATGTTTGCGTAAAATGCAAAACATATACAATGTATACATTTATTAAATGAAAAGCACAGAAATAAATAATTGCAAAAATATAATAGAATAAACAAATAAATTAACTTTAAGCAAAAAATATATAAAATAGTATTAACACAAAACGAAATTATTTGAATTTGAACAAAACTAGATTTTGAATATTTAATTTTTCACAGAATTGTAAATAATAATAATAAGATGCTTTTTCAAATTCTCAACCAAGAAAGATTGCCTGCGATCCGACAATATCTGCTTGTAGGTTGAAAAATTTCTTTCTACATCAACAGATGTAATTGGCGCGTACTTAAATTTGCAGATAATTGAGGGACTTATTTGAATACTTTCCTCATGGTTTCCTTGCAATACATTGGATATTTTAGTAAGTTGAATAAATCCTTTATTTTTTCTTAAAACTTTTTCTAATTTAGTTTGAATCCGTTGTCCTATTGTACCTTTGACGTTGTTGATTCTGTTTTTTGAAGCTTTGAATCAATTCTATAGATTTCAG